TTTCCCCAGAGCAGCTGTGGGAGGAATGCGTTCTAAGAAAAAGATCACGTGATGCTTTGGCAAGTTTCCCGCCTAACACGCCAAACTAACGTTTTGATTGGTTCGATAATGGCGGAGTGGAAAGTTTTGCAAACTGTATTTTTTTGTAAGAGTTTTTATTTGAATTAATAATTTATTAAAATTGTCTAATTCGTAATAAATATAATTTTATTTTCTAATTTCAAATTCCTTTTTTTTGTTAATTTAAGATTTGCTTAATAATAGATTTGCTAATAAACAGTAACTTTTTAAGTTACTGTTTATTTTCCCCCTTTCTCTTTCGACTCGATGTTTATTCGTAAATGAAGTAAGTTTTTTTCCCTGTATTTTAGAAATTTTATAGTGTATAATTTAGACGTAATGCATCTTTATTTTTTACTAATTATTGTTTTTTTTTAAAAAGTAAATATAAATTTAAAGTTAGTATGATTTTGCTTAAAATTTATGTTTAAAAAAAAACACCATTTACTTTGCTTAATTTGTTTAAATAAGATCAAAATTGTATAGAGTATTATAATGTTTAAATACTGGAAGAAAAAATATTATGTATTCAGTTTTAATATAATAATAATTTTTTTTTTGGAAATCGATAACCATAAATTGAAGTTTAATTAGAAATTTCTCCGAGAAAGTTTAATTCAATTAGTTATTTAAAGAAAAGAATAGTTTTGTTTTATTAAAAACGTTACCTTAAAAGCATAGTATTTAATATGCAATAAATATAAAAATTATTACGTTTGCCAAACTTTCCATTTCGAATTAACAGTTAAAACTTAACAATTTTAAAATGGATTAGCCTACTTGAATAGAGTTTCCATAAGTAAGTGTTTATTTATGTTTATCTTTGATTTTCTATTTCGTTATCCTTGTTTCTTTAAAACCCAGATTTTTCACTCTTGAACTAAGCTTACATTTTGCATGCGATTTTTTTTCCATCTTCTGTACCTGTTATTTCAATTTCCTCCCCGTTCCTGATATCACGACGGTAACACCGTTCTTTTTTGGTCCTCTCCTCTTAGAGAGCGCCTTTTCTTTCCCCTATCTTTCCCCTTTCCGTCGTGATGTCATGATCGGGTTTCTCTTTTTCCTCCTACCCCTTGGCGACCTATCTGAATAGGTCGCCAAAAAATTGGCGGGACTTGGCCTTGCCGTAGTTATGATAATGATCCCAACTGTCTCAAAAAATTTACAAATTAAAAGAAAAATAATAATTTCGAAAATTTTGGTACCCTTTGAAATAAATGATAAATAAAAAATAGATATATTTCACCAGAAAAAAAAGTAGGAAAAGACACCTTTATTTGTACTTTATTAAAAACTTTATTTAAATTATTAATTAAAATGAGTCGAAAGAAACAATTAATATATTTAAATAAATCCAATATAATGTTAATAAATAATTTANTAGTTTTTAAAAATTCTGTGAAAAATTTTGAATGACAACCCATTACCAATTTCACATACACAGGTAGAAAAGCGTAACTTATAGCTATTGTACCGATCTTGGCCACCAAATCGCGTGGCCACCGATCTTGGCAAACAAAGATTATAAATAAGTTTATATTCTGGTGGCCAAGGTACCGATGAATTAGTTTCTGTAAAGTGGCGCTGTTGTTAACGTCGGCGCGATAGCTCTGAGGCTATCTTACCGATAGTCGGTGCAATAGACACAGCCAAATGTAAATACACTTTGACAAACAATTCATTTCTTCTCTTTTTTTTCATTATTTTTAATAAGGTTATTCGTGATTTGTATTTCCCCCTTTCCGAGTGCAAAAGAAATAGGATTATAAAGAAAAAATGCCTACACTGAATGAATATATTTAAATATCTTGTTCCTAGGAACTGAAGCTTCCTACGTAATTCAAATTGTAACTTTAAATATAAACAGATGTACCGAAGAGGTTTGTTTGAAAGTATATCAAAATTTTATATTTGATAATTCTCTCCTTTTCAGTTAAGTATGGATTTCGAGTCAAACCAAAAAAATATTTTAGAGCTTTTTGAATCGAAGCCGTGTGTTACAATGTGTGCTCCTATGGTCCGATATTCAAAGTAAGTTGTACAAAGTTTTTTTTTCTATATTTATTTTTAATTTCTAGATATAAAAAAAATAAAACTTTCAAACTAAAGTGAAAGTATCCACTTTTTCATAAATAATATACAAATTAGAAACAAGAAGCTGTGTTTGGGCAATATTCTCGTATCTACCTACGCCTAAATGATCGTAAACTTGGTAATTTCCAGACAGGGTTACCTGAAAAAACAAAAAATAACAGAAGAGAGCTAATGCAAAGGGGATAATTCTTAGCCACCCTTCATATATATATATATGTATGTCTGTATATATATAGATATATATATATATATATTAGGGGATATTGAATTCTCTCTGATCTTTTTGCGGTAGTGAGGAAAAGATGTGAATTCCTATTATTAAAAAATGAGATGAATCTTAAAACTCTGGGTTGATATCTTCTGTTGCCTCAGTGGGTCGAAAGTTCCAAAAATTGGACTAAAAATTATTAAAATGCAGAAATTAATACATAACCACAGATTTAGTTGATCGGTTTGAGGTAGCACTTAAAAGTTGCAATGTTTTAAGAACATTAACTATAATTTTTTTTAGAATTACAGATTAATATCTTCTG